AAAACTAATGACATTAAATTCCTCGTGTAATAAATTTCTACCTTGACCTCCTTAACTTCCCTGAACTTTAGTTTCCTCATCTGCAATAATATCACAGTTACTAGTCGTAAATATTAAATGAAAATACATGTCACTGATTGTATTAGGTACTTATGTAGCTCATCCTTCCTTAATGGGCCCACTAAGTACAGAACTAGAATTCATTCTGGGATATCCACCTCTTATGGACTCTCAAGGATTGCAGAGTTTGCAACATTATGAGGTTGTTAATATCTTCTGTATTTCCAAGATTAGAAAACAAAGGCTGAAAGAAATTGAGTGGGTGAAAAGGGAAGGTATCCCCTCTTCCCTCCCTACTCTCTGAGAATTATTTTTGCTTTTTAAGGTAGAAAATCAATTCTCTTTACATAGATTTGATCCTAATCGCCAACCACTAATGAAACACATTTTCTAGTAGGGATGATAAATTTGTACTGATACATACTCAACCATTTTTGCTGCCAGTATGTTTCACACAGGGTCTTTAACTCCTTAGCATGATATTATACTAAACTAGCCAGCCATAGTTTGGCAATTCTATTTAAAAATTGACAGTTTGTCTTGGGGAAAACCCAACTCCATAGGTTGTGTGATGAAAGTAATGTTTCAATTTTACCCTTAACATTTTGAATTAAAAAATTTATTGAACTATAATCCACATACCATAAAGTTCACCTTTTTGAAGGTCAAGGAAATGGTTTTTAGTATATTCACAGACTTGGGCAACCATCACAACTCTTTTATTTCAGAACATTTCATTGCTCAAAAAAGATCCATACCTGGGGCGCCTGGGTGGCTCAGTTGGTTAAGTGGTTAAGTGTTTGCCTTAGGCTTAGGTCATGATCCCAGGGTCCTAGGATCCAGCCCACGTTGGTTCCCTGCTCTGTGGGGTCGGGCTGGGGTGGGGGGGTAGTCTGCTTCTGCCTTTCCCTCTGTCCCTCTCCCTTGCCCTATCCCCTTGTGCTCTTTCATGCGCTTTTTCTCTCTCAGATAAATAAAATCTTTAAAAAAAAATCCATATCCATTAGCAGTCACTCCCCTTTTCACTTTCTTCCTCCAGCCCTTGGCAGCTGCTAATTTCCTTTCTGTCTCTATGGATTTGCCTATTCTGGATAGTTCATGATAAAAGGAATCATACAATAAGTGTCTTTTGTGTCTGGCTTCTTTCACTTAGCATAATATTTTCAAGCTTCCTCTGTGTTGTAGTATGTATCAGAATTTCATTCCTTTTTATGCCTGAAGAATATTCCATTGTATGGATGGATGATCACGTTTTATTTATCCATCATTTTTTTTTCAAAAATTCATCGATTTTTTTTTATTTGAGAGAGAGAAAGAGAAAGTGAGTATGAGCCAGGGGAGGGGCAGAGGGAAGGGAGAAGCAGACTGCCCGATGAGCAGGGAGCCCAAGTGCGGGGCTTGATCACAGGACTCCAGGATCATGACCTGAGCCGAAGGCAGACACTTAATGACTGAGCCACCCAGGTGCCCCTATCCATTTGTCACTTGATGGACATTCGTGCAAAGCTCTAAACCCAGTATGATGATTCCCAAGTTGGATCTTTTGTTTTTTTTGTAGTATATATTCTCCTAAGATCTCATCTGCTCTTAGAGTTCTTGTTCTTATATGGTGGAGATGATTCTAATTCTGATTTTCAGCCCTTTGTCTCCGACTGCTATTAATCATTTGTATATTTACCTCACCCCCAAAAATTGAACTTTATGTCCCCCCAGACTAACTTCCCTAATACTATGAAGAGTGATTAGAGGATAAGATGCTGAGGGAAAGGAGACCAGTTTAATTGCCTAAAGCAATCTGCCCCAAATGAGGAAAGCCTAGCCATGAGGGGTGGTCACGGGGACAGAAAAGGAGGCAGCAATCTAGGGGTATTTTAGGAGAGTCAGAAGGCCCTGTCCTTCACCAGAGGTGGATGATAAAGATACAGAAGTGATTTTGATTTTTGAGGGGAAGGCATGGGGAACTAGGGAGAATTGGAAAACAGCACAAATGGTGGTGCCTCTATGTAAGACCAAAGCTGCGAGAAGCTCTTTTGGATGGTTGAGTTTAAACTGATGTCAAGGCGGGGCGCCTGGGTGGCTCAGTCTGTAAGCATCTGCCTTGGCTCAGGTCATGATCCCAGAGTCCTGGGATCGAGTCCCGCATCGGGCTCCCCGCTCTGCGGGAAGCCAGCTTCTCCCTCTCCCCCTGCTTACGTTCCCTCTCTCGCTGTGTTTCTCTCTCTCAAATAAATAAAATCTTAAAAAAAAAATAAACTGATGTCAAGGCATGTAAATAGAGATGACTTACAGGCAGCTGGAACTGCTGGGAAAGCTCCTCTGGAGTAAAAATAGAAATCTGACCAGTACCAGCCTGGAAATGGTCATTGAAGCTGTGAGACATGATTGTCAATATCAGATTTTGGAGCTCCATTTAGTATAGTGCTTTTAATCTTTGGCTACTTTTCAAATGTCAGATGAAAGGGAACATGGAAACATGAAGGCAGAGCTGCTGCGGTTCACAGGGAGTCAAGAGGTGACAGACGAACTCAGTCCTCCAACCTCTCCTTTTGCCTCTGAACCCTTCTGTGCTACAGATGATGAAAAGGCCCTGAGAATGAGGTGATTTGCCTTAGCATCGTATCAGTGGCAGAACCAGAACTGGAACCCAGTGACTAGCTTTTCCCTTATGGCTTAGGTTAGAACTTTTGAAAGTTCTAAAGGAAAGCTCAAAAACAGTTTTCATATTTCTTACTGTTCCCTTCTCTAGAACCCGAGTCACTAGCTTCCCTGCATGCGATGTAGGGAACGTAGCGCCCGCAGACTCTTGGTCTTGACGTCCCTCTCCTGGTTCTCCTACCTCTCAGGTGGCTTCTTACCAGGTTTCACAGGCCCTTCTTATGCCTGTGCTTTTCACAGTCCACTCACAAGTTGTCATCCACACTCAGAACTTTGTCCTAGTTTAAATTGCTGATGACTCCTAAATCAGTCTCCAGCCTGAACATCTGAGTTTGAGGCTTATGACCAACTGCTTAGTGGACATCTCCACTTGGATGTTCTAATATGTCTAGCCATGTTTGGTACCACTGTTAGATACAACTTTATGCCAATGAACTTGCAAATCTAAATGAAACGGGTGACTTTTTTTGGCCGATTATAAGTGGCCAATATTGACTCAGGAACTTTAATAGGCTAATAAACATAGCAGAAAGTAAAAGGTTATTATCTTCCTGCAATAAAGCCAGGGCCAGCTAGTCTGTTAAACCTTCCAAAAAACCATAATTGCTCTGTATTTTCCCCTACCTTTTTATTATGAACATTTTATAATTTGAAGTTTTATAGTTTAATACTTTTAGAAAGTCTTAAAATAGTACCATGAACTTGCCACATTTGCTCTATAAGCACATATTTTCTTTTTGCCTACCATTTGCAAGTCAGACATTCTGAAACTTTACGCCTAAATACTTCAGGATGCATCTTCTCAGGGTAAAGACATTGGCATAATCACAAAATTCATTAAAGCATCAAATATCCAGTTCATACTTGAATGTCTCTATTCCAAAAATGTTTTTAGAGTATCCTTTTAAAAACTAGGATCCACTTCAATAAACTACTCCAGAGCACTGAAAAGGATAGCAAGAAAAAAAAAAAAGGATAGCAAGCTTTTATTCATTTTGAGTTTTGATCCCCAAACCTGAAAAAAAAAAAAACAAACACCTGAAACACAAAAATCAAAAAGCAATCCAGGGGGAGTGGGTGGCTCAGTTAAGCGTCCGCCTTTGGCTCAGGTCATGATCTCAGGAATCTTGCTCAGCAAGGAGTCTGCTTCTGCCTATCCCTCTGCCCCACCCCCAACCCCCACACTCACTCTCTCAAATACATAAAATCTTTTTAAAAAATCAAAAAGCAACCCTAATAAATATAAATGCAAAAGTCCTAACAATATCAGGGTATTTCAGTAACAGTGAGTAAGGGACAGGCGGGGCTAGGTAGGGAGAGATAGGTATGGGGCTATGGGATCAGGCTCACAGAAATCCCAAAAATGCTGAGGTGTAAGGAAACCAGAGATGAGGGAACAAACCAGACCACCCTGCCCTAGGCGTGTGGGGGGAGTGTCTTTTTTATAATAGTCACCTGTGACCAACAAAGAATAACCAGACCCTAACAAAGAAGCCATTAAAAATGTTAATCGCTAGTCCTTACTCAAGCCAAGACATCACAAGAACGATAAGGCCACAAGCTGCCTGGTCAGTTCTAAATAAAATACTGTCAGCGGAGGCCCTCGTTGGCAACCCTGTCGGGACCCCTCTCACTCCTAAAAGCTTTTTTCCTGTATCCTTGCTTAATAAACTTCTATCGCTTTACTCACTCTCCTTTGTCCGCGAGATTCATGCATTCTCCGACTCCGTGAGACAAAGAGAAACCTAGCTTTCCCGCTTCAAGTGGACTGAACTTTTGAGGATCCTGTGTTTGAACTGTTTCTCTTTTCCCCTCCCCCATGACGCAGGAGCCTTGCGGTCAGAGCCCACTAATGTCTTGAGTGATTAAACCAACCTAGGTAATTCCATCCCCGTCACAGCGACTTGTTCAAGTAGCCCAAGGCAATCAGCAAATACGGTATTATTCCCGGCCAGAGGTGATCTAACCAGCAAGGGGTTCAGTCCTTTTGTCGAGAATCGGAGAGGCCGATTGTTAAACACCACCCCAATTTAGGTCGCCCACCTTGGTCCCTTTGCCTTTCGAGGCATTCCTTTTTCTGGATTGTGTTGTTATTCGTCGTTTCTCCTTGGTTCATCCTAGTGCAAACAGCGAGTACTAACAGGTGTTTGGAAGAGAGCTGGAAAGACTACACGCTCTGGGCGGAGCCGGGAGGCGAGGCGTGGGCGGAATCTAGGCCCCGCCCCCTCCTGCGCGCGGCTCTGCCCCGTCCCGGGCCGTATCGCCGCTCTCAGTCCAGAGACATCTGCTGGGGCGGCACCACTGATGGTGCTACCTGGGAGAGCAATGGCCAGTAAGTAGCGCGGCGGCCCGAACTCAGGCATAGGACAGGGAGGCCTAGGTTGCGGAGCCGGCGGCGGGTCTCCCCGGCTCAGCCCCTCGCCTCCGCTTCGTGTCGCCGCCGCGCCCCAGGCCTTCCCCGGCCCGGCGTTCGCGGACTGGGGCCTCGGGCGTCTTGGCTGCGAAGGTGGGCAGGGCGGGGTGCGGCGGCCGAGCGCGGCCCTGCGCACTCTGGAGGATTCCAGGCTTCCGGGAGGGCCGGCGCGGCCGCGGGAGCGCGGGGCCTCCCGGCCAGAAAGGCCCGCGCCTTGCTCCTTGCTGGGCTCCTGCGTCCCACCCGGTGCTTCTAGGTGCATTCGGCACCCCCCCCCCGCCCCTGCAAGTTCGCCTGCGCGGGAAGAGGAGGGTAGACGGATGATCACTTAAAATCCAAGTTCCGCACCCCCTTTTCCCTGCCCCAACTCGAAGACTGCACTTTCAGTAAAGCCTTTCAGTGATTATGATACTTCTGCTAGTGTGGGAACCTCTGCCTTGTGGGATTCTTGGAGGGTCTTAGGTTTTGCATTAGAAAGCGCTACTATCCAGTGGGGTCGCTTTCACTCTTCACAGATTTTTGGACTTGGGTTTTGCAGAGGCATTAACCCTAATTATTTGTGGTTGGAACCCTGTCACGTGAAAATGAAGCATCTGTTTTCGTTCAGTTGGGCTCTGTGGTCAGAGGACTGGTTAACTTGCCCCATGTTGCACCCCCCCACCCCCCACCCCCAGTGGGGAATGCCCTCTTCTGGACAAGAAAACTGGACAAACTTTCTGCATCTGGACATTGAGCTTTCAGGTTAGGTATTACATGTTCCTTACACATCCCTATCCTGGATTGGCCCCAGGGGCACGTTTCTAGCTATCTCTGACCCCAGGCCTCTGCCAGATTCTTTTACAGGAGGCTTTGGAGTGCTCTGGACTCATAGTCCGGAGACCTGGATTGTTACAGTTTTGCCTCAGCCCATGTCAACAAGTCATTTAATCTCTCTGAACCTCAGTTTCCTGACCTGTAAAATGGGCATAAACTGCCCCTGCTGAGTCTTGGGAGGCTCCCACGAGATGGTAAGGTTTGTGGAAGTGCTGTTTTTCATCTTAACCTGACAGAGCTCAGTGCAAGTTGGTGGCAGTGCAAATCAGCGGTAGAAGCAGTGTTCAGGATCGGGGTATGGAAGTCCTTGTACACCCCTCCCTCTGCGTGTGGCCGGTATCTTTGAAGACGCAGGACATGACAGGCTGGTGGACTTGAGAGCTGTGGTTCCTGGTGGGGTTGAGGGAGGTGTCTGATTTCTGTGAGGAACGTTTTCAAGTTACATGACCTCCCCCCCACCCACCCAAAAACGAACAAATGAAGTTCCCATCCTGCTTTACAGTTCTAGATTTTGGCTCGAATTTGCCACTGACTTGTTCAGTGATCCTGTGCATCTTCCCCCCTGCAATCCCCTTGTTTCCTCATCTACCAAATAGTGTTAAGGACGCCTCACAGATGCTCATGTGCGTAAAGGGCCTGGCACATTCCTTATGCTTTTTCCCAAGTTGGTCCCTTCACTTAGATATTTTTTATCCTTTTTTTTTTCCTTTGGTCAGTCTTCCGTTTTTAGATTATGATAAGTATTAGAGCAGCCAGGGACCTTAAAAGTGATTGTATTTTCACTTTACAGCTGAGGCGATGAAGTGACTAGTATTGTTTTCGGCTTCAAGAAACCCCTCACTGGTGGCCTTTCCCTGCCTCAGCCTCTCAGAGGAGGGGGTGATTTGCAGAATGTCAGGCAGTCCCCAGCCTGGATCAGGACAGCTGCCTTTCTGGGTAGGATGAGGGAGAGGGGAAACGGTCAGCAGAGCCGTGGTGAATTGCATCTTTTAATCCCTCAGAAGCAGAGACAAAGCCCAGCTTCTGACAGTTACAGTGGTGACTTTCAGTGGGTCTGTAGGATGGTCTGGTGACACCTAAAGGTATCTGTTTGCTCCCAAGTAATTCCAGCTTTGGTTTTTCCTGTTTTCGTTTACTTCATTTTCACTCCGATTCTGAAACTACTCAAGAAGCAGCATTCAGGGTTAAATTGAGCTCTTCTCACTATATTTAGAACAAACCAAGGAATGGAACATCTGAGTTTTCGTACTTTTAGGGTTACCACTTAGCCAGACAGGCCTTCACAGGTAAGGGTCTGTCAGTGTTGCTTCTTCTGGGGACATTTGCACCACTGTAGGCGACACCCAGGGGGAGAACTCTCTAATGGTTTTCAGGTTCTAGAGCTTTTCAGATTTCTAGAGCAGCGGTGGGAGAGGGAAGCCAGGGAAGGCCATTATTGATAATTCCTGAAGTTTTGCAGAGCTTCATGGGTCACCACGTGCTTTGGATCCTTTAATATCCCCTTCCATCACACCATGAGCGAAAACTGCATCGGTTAGGGTCCAGATAGGACACAGAAACCACACCAGTCACTTGAACAGGGAAAATTTTGTATGAAGAATGATTAACCAGTAGGTGATTACTCTAAGAGCTACCAGAGAACTCTAAAGAATACAGGAGAAGCACATGTGGGGTGTAGCTATTACCTCAAGGAGGGACTAAGCCTGGAAGAGCCCTGACCTCCTTGGCTGACAACATTTCTTGTTGGCCACATAGTCGGTTGGCCTCAGGCTCTGAGGAAAACGTGGAGCCCCTTGCCCAGGTAGCAGGAAGAAGACTGCTAGTTTTTCCTTCCACAGTGTCTCTCTCAACCACTCGTGGTGTTTTTTATTTGCTACTTACTGTTGTGCTCTTTGGGGCACAGGAATATTCATGGGGTGAGTGCAAAATCTCACAGGTGCCCAGGGGCCCTGCCCCGGGATAAGCACCGGTGCAGCTCATCGGCCGCCAAACCGCCCCCCCCCACCCCCACGAGCAGCTGGGCCCGGGACACCAGGTCCCAGCTGGTGGGGGTGGAGCAGAGACAAGTGTCTCCCCTTCCCATGGGCCCGCTGCCCCACTTCACGGCGAGTGGGTGATTTCCGAGGGATTTCACCTGCCCTGAGATGTGCTCAGTACCCAGATCAGGGGTAGGTTGAGTCCCAAGATCAAACAGTAAGGGAAATTGCATGTTCAGACTCAGTCTCCTTTCAAGCCGTGTTCTCATTAGTATGTAAGAAGCTGGCCCTGCCTACCCCACTGAGGCTCTCGTGCCGGTGGGAGCGTGACCCGGGGTGGCGTTCTCTTCCAGGGTTTCTCAGCCTCGGCATCAGTCACATTTCGGGTTGGATAATTCTTTATTGTGAAGGACTGTCCTATGGCCTCTGGTATGCTGAGCAACGTCCCTGACTTCTGCCTATTAGATGCTAGTAGCACCCCAACAGTTGTGACCATTAAAATGTCTCTGTTGTCACGTGTCCCTGGGGGTCAGAATTGCCCTGCGGTTGAGAATTGCTCTGATTCAGCAGTCAGATCTTCTGACAGTTTTCTCTTTATCCTCAGCTTTCCGCTTGGCCCTCATCCAGCTTCAGGTTTCTTCCATCAAATCAGACAACCTCATGCGAGCCTGTGGCCTCATTCGGGAGGCAGCAACCCAAGGAGCCAAAATCGTTTCTCTGCCAGTAAGTGTGGAGGCGGAGAGGGTCACCTCTTCCTGAGAACTCTTGACCGAGTAGAATACTGCCTGCATCTAGGGGTCCAGCATATTTTGGGGAATGATAGATTTCTCAGGGTCAGCATAATAGTGCTGGAAGGGAGCTTAGAAACCGCTCATTTTACAGATGAGGAAACATCTTCTGTGGCTTTTGAAGCTTCTGTATTTTTTTCAAGCACAGGCTTATTGCTTTTCATAGTTAATGATATAATTTTGAGCCCGTGGATTCATTCTAACACCCACAGTCCTGTGATTAAGCCGAGGTGTAGCAGGGCCTGGGTGCCCAAGGGTGGGAGCTCATAGTTCGCCTGCAGACAGTGAGGAAGGGGCTGATCTGCCAGGTTGACAAGGGTCTGAGAAAGCACACATGCTGTGAGTCGCCTCGCCCCACCTGAGCCAGCCCAGGTGTTCTGCTTAGGGCCACAGGCTCTCTAGCTCTGGGATACTGTTGTTTTTCTTATCGGCTGTGTTTTAGCCCTTCGAGAGCAGAGCTTACGAGAGGCAGCTGTGCCTTCTTGAAGCAGAACTTTAAAATGGGTTGGATATTTTCGTGGTTTTTTTCCCTTTTTCTCTGCCAACATTATTCTAGGAATGCTTCAATTCTCCATATGGCACGAAATATTTTCCTGAATATGCTGAGAAAATTCCTGGTGAATCTACACAGAAGCTTTCTGAAGTAGCAAAGGAGTGCGGTGTATATCTCATTGGAGGTAATGTCCTACCCTCAAGGTGTAGTGGCCTAAATATTAAAAACATCTGAATAATTTCTGTTACATTTAAACCATGGAATATAAACCATGTAAATTAGGCATTGAAAAGAATGTGGTGAGGGCACCTGGGTGGCACCTTCTGATTAGGTCATGATCTTGGGGTCCAGGGATCGAGCCCCTGCATCGGGCTCTCTGCTCAGTGGGAGCCTGATTCTCCCTCTCCCTCTGTGCTCACTCACTCGCTGTCTCTCAAATAAATAAATAAAAAATCTTTAAACAACAAAAAGAATGAGGTGGATGTTATGTAATAATGTGGAAAAATGTTCAAGACACACTGTTACATGGAAGAAACAAGTACAATATGACATGAACAGGTATTCCCATTCAGATTAATCCCTCACACAAAAGGTTATGTATTTTTTTATGTCTTTATATATGTAGCACATGGTAAATATTGTATAAGGACACACCAAACTGATTTTCCCTGGAGAAGCAATGGGAATACAGAGGCAGGTGGAAATGTGGAAAGAATAACTGCATTGGATTGTCTTTCATTATACTAATACAACATTAAGAAGTTTGTTTTTTCACAAAGAGGCCATATACATCAAGGTAGCTTTATAAACGTGGTTTTGAAATAAGTGATTTTTGAAATGCATTTAAAGTTTTTTTTAATTATTTTTTTAAAAGAATTTATTTGAGAGCGAGCGAGAGTGAGAGTACAAGGGCAGAGGGAGAAGCAGACTCTGCTGAGCAGGGAGCCCATTGCGGGGCTTGATCCCGGGACTCCGGGATCATGACCTGAGCTGAAGGCAGACGCTTAACCGACTGAGCCACCCAGGTGCCCCTTGAAATGCATTTTAAAATGCTCTATTTACTTAAAAAATACAGTAAAACTGTTTAATATAGCAAAATTATTCTGTTATATTGAGAGTTAGAAATGAATGAGAGGTGAAGAAAAGACCAAGCAAGAAAAGAGAGAAATGCAGGAACTACATTCAGTGATGTCAGGACTGGTTTACATTCCTATCTTGAGGCCTTTTTGGATACAGTTATGTTGCAGGACCTGGTGAATTTAAGTTGAGCAACAGTGAATCCTCCATGTTGCTCCAGTGTTATAGATTAAGTGTAGCTCAAGATCAAAGCCGAATTCAGAAACGGTTTGGTTATTTTTGAGACCTGTCTTTGGCATCTGACTTAATTATATTTCATCTATACTCTGAAGTTTATCTCTGAAAGATCATCCTCAAGAAGACAAAAAAAAACCCATTAATAACCCTTAGAAGCTAGTATACTTTATTCCTGGACCCAAGTGACAGTTTATCAAGTGTTTGTCCAGTGATCATAAAAGAATGCTTTATTCAGAATATTTGCTTTGCCTGTGTGTTTCTCCTCTCAATGAAAGGTTCCATTCCTGAAGAGGATGCTGGGAAATTATATAATACCTGTACCGTGTTTGGTCCTGATGGCACTTTACTGGTAAAGTACAGAAAGGTAAGCAAGGAATGTCGCAAGTCTCATTACCTCTTGAGAATTTGCTGTAATGTTCCCTAGTCTCCTCATGATATTGTACACACATGGGGCGTTAGATGAATTGGTACAGTCAGCTTGTCAAATCTTGGCTGTTGACATTTTGATATGAATTTTAGACTTAACCTGTCAATTTCAGGAGAGGAAAAATCTACGGGAATTTTGATTAGAATTGCATTGAATATAGAGAGGTCACTTTGGGGAGAGTTGACATCTTTGCTGTAGGAAATGCATACACATTGAGAATTGTTAAATATTCCTGGTAAATCGATCCTTTTGGCATTGTGAAATCCATTTTTTTTTCTCATAATACTCTTTGTCTTGAAGTTTATTTTATCTCTGATATTGCTATGGCCACTCTAGGCTTCTAATACTTAGTGTTGTATAATACATGTTTTTCTAATTCCTTATTTTCAACCTGTATGTGTCTTTATATTTAAAATGATTCTCCTATAGATAGCCTGCAGTTGGGTCTTGTTATTGTCTTCATTCTGACAACCTCTGCCTTTTAACTGGAGTGCTTACTCCACTTACATTTAATGTAATTACTGGTATGATTGGATTTAGGCATTAGACATTTTACTGTTTTTTTCCCTTTGTTCCTCTTTCCTGCATTCTTTTGGCTTAGTTGAGTATTTTTTAGAATTCCATTTTAATTTTTCTATTGGCTTTTAGCTATATATGTCTTTGCTTTTTTTTAAGTGTTGCTCCAGGAATTACCACATGCACCCTATCTTTTTGCAGTCTCCTTAGAATTAATATTATACTGCTTCATATGAAATTTAAGAACTTCCCAATTGTATCATTTCCTTCCCCACCCCATTTTCTGTTATAGTTGACATGTTTCATCTACATATATTATAAATCCCACAAAAAACTAAGTTTTTAAGTAATTATGTGTATTTTAAAGAAATAAAGATAAAAATATTTTGTTTACTGAAATGTTTACCTTTTTGGTATTTTTCTTTCTAAAGAGCATAGTTCTATCTGGTATCTTTGCCTTCAAACAGAAAGACCTTTAGAATTTTTCTAGTGAGGATGTGCCAGATAGGAATTCTCTTAGTTTTTGTTTATGAATATATCTTTATTTTGTCTTCATTCTTGAAAGGTACTTTTGCTGGAATAGAATTCTGGGTTGACCGTTTGTCTCCTAGAAATTTGAGCGATGTTTTTCAGGTATCTTCTAGCCTCTTTTAAAATTTTTTCTGATAAAAAGTCAGTGGTGATTTGTATTGTTCTTCTGTATGTAATTCATGTTTTTTTCTGTCTGCCTTCAAAATTTTTTTCATAATCCTTAGTTCTTAGTGTTTTGACTCTGATGTGCCTGCCTAGATACGGTTTTCTTTATATTTGTCCTGCTTTGTGCTTCTTTAATCTGTAAATTTAACTCTTTCATTATATTGGGGGCATTATTTTGTTAAATATTTTTCTGTTCCATTCTCTTTTTATTGGACTTCAATTTTGATACTGTTCCACCAAACCAGGTCACCAAGACTCTGGTTTTTTGTTTTTCCCACCTTTTTTCTCTCTCCAGTCTTCTTCAGTGTGGACACTTCACATTGATCTGTTTTTAAGTTCACAGAATCCTTTTTCTGTAAGCCCCAGTCTCCTGTATGCCAATCCAGTGAAATCTTTTAATATTTCACATAAACTTTTATTTTTCTACTGGTATTTCTTATATATCCATTCATTGAGAGTGTATTTTTCTTGAGACCTTTGAGCTTAGTTTCAGTAGCTCCTTTGTGGTAATTATCACATCTGGTCTAGCTGGGGTCTCCATTGATTGCCTTCTCTTTAAAGTTGGGTAACATTGAGATGTTTATACAGCGTTCAAGAACCTGTCTTTCTACTAAAGTTGGGTAACGTTTTCTTGTTTCTTTGTCTAGTAATTTTGAATTACATATTGGATATATTTTTGAGATTCTAGCTTCTATTACTCTGAAAAATGTATTTTTTTTGTTTTAGTAAGTAGTTAACTTGGTTGTACTCAAACACCATACTTTTTCCTTTGGGAGTGGGCAGCAGCTTCAGCTGCTCTGTTCTAAGTTGTTTAGCTTTAGCTGGGCTGCCTGGAGTCCACCCTACATCTTTAATTCAGTACTTAGCAAGAGATTTGGACAGATATTTATATATAGAATTTAGGGCTCTTCCTCTTGGGCTTCCTCCTTTTCAGGATTTCTCCCTCACTTTTGCAGCCGCTGTGAAACTCTGTCCTCTGGTTCCTTGGGCCAATATAGTTGTGATTTTCATCACCACTCCTAGCAACAACTGGGATCTTACTTGCAACTAAAAGGTGTAAACAGGAAACTCACCTTGTCTTATTCCTGATCTCAGTATGAAAAAGCTTTTAATATTTCACCATTAAGTATGATGTTCCTTCCTTTTTTTTTCTTTTTTCAGATACTCTATCAAATTAAGGGAGTTCCCTTCCTAGAAGAGTTTTTTTCTTTTGTTTTTAAAATAAGAATGTATGTAGAAGTTTACCACATGCTCACCATGCACCTCGTAAGATGATCGTATGACTTTTCTCCTTTATTTTGTTAGTGTGGTAAATTACGCTGATTGATTTCCTTGAATAAATCCAATTTGCTTCTGTTTGCTTTCCTTGAATAAATCCAATTTCGAAGTGATGTGTTACTCTTTTTATATATTGCTGCATTTAGTTTGGAAAATTTTACCTATTTTTAATTGCTCTCCCGCTCTCCACCTCTCCTGCCAGTTTGTCAGGTTGATTATGAGTCTGTGAAGACTTCATTTAGCATTTATACTGAATAAAAGAATAACATGTTAATTGCTTCCCAAAAGAAACCTAGACAGTGAACTTGCACACCACCTGGGAAAGAAGTGTCATAAAGCCTACAGCATGATTTTCCCGTTTTGCATATTAGAACTCATTTTGATAAGATGTCAGCTTGTGGGGTGGGTTGTGGGCAGGTGGGGGTTGCTGTTTGTGTAGTTGATCTCAGAGCATCCCCGTTTCTGGCCATGGAAAGATGTTGGCTGTGATTGCCATGACCCTGCTGGAGAAGATGTAACCAAATTCATTGCTTGTGGTACAGCTCCATCTGTTTGACATTGATGTTCCTGGGAAAATTACATTTCAAGAATCTAAAACGCTGAGTCCTGGTGATAGTTTCTCCACATTTGATACTCGTAAGTACCAGACACGTTCACCTGTTTTAGTAGTATCAGTAGAAGAGGATCAGGTGTTCCCTTTTTTTTTTTTAACTCGTATGTCCCTCCCCTACTTCTTTACATACCCTGATTGCAACACCAGAAGTGAGACAGGCGAATGGTCAGAGATCTAGAAAGGGCAGGCTGAACAGAGGACAAAGGGTTTGACCTGATTTTGCTCTACCATTTGGTCACAGCATGCTATTAGCATGATTGCTTCCAGAGTTTACCTCTTAGGTTGTGATTGAACACCTCCCACACAGATAATAAGCATTCAGTTAGAATGAATTTCTCATTTCTAATCTGAGATAAATGATGTCTTTATGAGGGAAAATCCAAGCAGGAATAAGCTTATACATTTTCTCCATCCATGGCCCCGGGTTAATGTATTGCCATCAGTGTTTTGAGATCTTACAATGGAGGCTTTACTCTGCCGCACCGTGTTGCAAGAGGTTAACTTTTCATTTGTGCATTTTCTATTTGGAAAACAGCTTACTGCAGAGTGGGCCTGGGCATCTGCTACGACCTGCGCTTTGCAGAGCTCGCCCAGATCTACGCCCAGAGAGGTGAGATGGCACCACGACTCTGTGGTGTAGGTGCTTAGAGATTTGATTCTGGCTTGGTCTTTGTGTGTCGAGGGAGCCCTTAGGCAGAAAAACTGGAGAAGGGGTCTTAATCTCTCCACCCCCATCTGATTCCTCAGACTTTTGCTGTATATGGACAATACAGTTTTTCAGAGATTGTATTTCAACACACCATGCAGCTAAGGCAGGAACTGTGCTCCTAAATCTGCTCTATTCTTTGAGCCCTTCTTGCTACCATGTTTGGAAAGAGTCACATGGAGCCCACTAGAAATAAGGATGTGGTCTAGGGTGTCTGTCATGGATTTCACACTCAATAGTCCTAGATGTTGGGTACAGTAGAAATATAGTCTGTGACCTTTTGGTCCAGAGAAGAAATGTCCTACTGGCCTGGAAGAACACTGAGCCAAGTCAGAAGATCCGGGTTCTGCTTCCAGCTCTCCTCCTTAATTGACGTGATACTTTGAGTAAATTATTTAATTTTTAGAGCTCTGTGGATCTCAGGTTTTTCATAGGCATGGTGTGTGGAGATTAAGGAGGGAGAACTTAGCTCTTCGTGTGGTACTCAACAAATGTGAGCATCCCTGCTAGACTGTCCAAACTACTCTGATCTGGACTTTTCCCTTAAAGTGGAGTGGGTGCAAACATTCTGACGGCCTGCTCAGCAAAAAAGGTGGACGTGCGTGGGCTCTGGGTTGGCAGACCCTGTTGAGCTCTCTCAGTAAGCATTACAGCACCTACTCTGCCCCCCATTTCACTTAAAAGCATTAACGAATTTGGTCCTTGGCCGTGCGGAGCTGACCGTATGGTGCTGAGAGAAATTTGAATGATTTTTTATTTTTTTTTAAGTGAAGTCACATACCCTGGTTTTGGTCATCAATACCACTGTATTTGTATGTGTGTGTAGCGTGTGTGTGTCTCTAAAGGAATTCAGAGCCATAACTTAATACTCCTGACAGTGTCCGGCTTGGCTGACATCTTTTCATGCTTGGGAAAGTTCAAGTTTGGTCCCCACTGGGTAGAGAACAGAATGGGGAGCTAGTGTGGTGGGGTGTTAACCTGGACCCACTCTTCTCTGGCCTTTCTCTCCCAAGGCTGTCAGCTGTTGGTATATCCTGGAGCTTTTAATATGACCACTGGACCAGCCCACTGGGAGTTGCTTCAACGAGGCCGGTAAGAAAGCACCTCAGGCATACCTTCAGGTGTCTCAGTGTTGCTTTGTGAAAAGATTTCCAGTTTGGTGGAAGTACCAGCGTTCCTGACCCAGCCTGCTTTGCCATCCAGATGCAGTCGGAAGAGATGAATCAGCCCGTTGACTGTGCTCTGCAGATTGGGGTGCTTACCCCCCCATCCTTTACACCGTTCTGGTCTTCCTGGAATACTCTGCCAAGACACTTGTTATAAGGTCTTGGTTTTCTAATCTATAGTCCGAGGCATTGCACAGTGTCTTTGGCACGTCACAGTAGCTGTGTCGTGAGTCCCCTAGGGTTGGGGAGTGAGCAGTGAAGGGCAGCTAGCAGAGGTGGATGTAACATGGAAGGGAGGAAGAGTGTGACTGTGTGTGTCTGTGTAAAGTGTGCTGAAAACCATGAAATGGTGGTCAGAAATGCCGGTTTTCTTCATTACAGTTCTGTTAATTGAGGTATAATAAAAGAGCAGTACACCAATTTTAAGTCTGTAGGTCAGTGAATTTTCTATGCGTGTATTCACCTGTGACCAAGGTCAACACAGAACACCTGCAGATCTCTAGAATGCTCCCTTTTGTTCCTTCCATCAACCCTGTCCTTGTTTGCCCAGATGTAGCCGCTATTCTCACCTCTAAAAATGATGGTGATTTTTACCAGAGGAGGCAGCAGAGGTGTTTGGCTGGTTGCTTGGTGGAAGATGGGGTAGGGGCATCCGATACCATGTATATTAATGAATGCAGTCTTGAAGAAAGCAGAAAAGCTTGAGAAACATTGGAATGGCCTGGCATGGATCCGCTGATTGAGCCCGGAGAGCTCCCAGGTGAGGTGGTGGCTTGATGTACCCAGGCTGCCACCTGAAATTCTTACCTCTTTGGCCACTGGGGGCATGGAAGTCCCGTGCGGCCCTGCAAGGCGTATGGCCCCAGCGAGGCTGGTCCGTTCTCTCTGGCCACCTTGACTTGCTCTTTTGTAGGTTAACAGGTTGGCTCAGGCCAGGGTGTCAGCTGTGGCGGGACTGACGTTTTGGACTAGGTCGTTCTTTGTTGTGGGGCTGTCCTGCGCACGGTGGGATGTTCAGCAGCACCCTGGTCTCCATCTACTAGGTGCCAGTAGCAACCTGCTATCACCAAAGTCAAAAAGTCAAAGTCAGTGTCTTTGGACTTTGGCAAATGTCCCCACTGGGCAAAATCACCCCCAGTTGAGAACTGGTTTATGCATTAAGATACTTTTTGAAGAGAGGGTTTCATGGCTTTGGGTGTTTCCTTCCACGTCAGAGCCAGCCTACCCTGTCCTAGTTTTTAAAAGGAGTCGTACATTTGGAATAGAAAAATGTTGCCAATCTATAATGTATGAATTCTCTCTTTTTTGTCTGTTGACAACAGGGCTGTTGACAATCAGGTGTATGTGGCCACAGCATCTCCTGCCCGGGATGATCAAGCGTCATATGTTGCCTGGGGACACAGCACTATTGTGAGTCCTTGGTGAGTTGGCTAAGCAGGGACAGGCTCCCCGGGAGCTTGAGAGAGACGGCACTTGGGTGGGTGGGTTTTCTGATTCCCCACCAGCCCTGCCGCTCCCTCGAATCCCCATATCCTCACATGCCTGCCAGGTCTGCGCCTCGTCTGCGAGACACCCTTCCACTTGAAAACCATGTGAGAAAGAAGTGGCCCTGCTGTCCTGACTGAGTATTTGGCCTTAGCCCTCTTCTGAGTTTCTGAGTGTGTCTTGTCAGTTGGACTTGGATCACATGGGGGAAACAAGGCAACACGGATGATTTTAGTAAAAAGGCTCCCAGACTCTTGGCTTTTGGTTAAAATTTAAGCTGGGTGACTGGTTCTAGAACAGGAATTAGTTACAGGGTGAGGATTTTGCTCCCTGCCTAATGAACAGAGGATGGGGGAGGATGAGTTCAATTAAGGGGAACTCTGCCCTTGACCTCTGTGTCAGGGACAAGCCTCGTCCTAGTGAAGCGGCACCAAAGCCCCCCCAGCGCGCAGTCATTCGTTACCGTACGCAGCTCGTGGGCTGTAGTTGGGGGGTTTCGTAGCACTTCCGCACACGTGGTCTCCGTGTGAACTCAGAGACTTTTCCCAAATTGGGCTCCGTTTATAGATGGCAGAATTAAGTTCATGGGACAAAGTGGCTAGGGCCGGTGTTTAGATTCAGGACTTTTGACTTCAGAACTTGGGTTTATTCCATACCACTTCTCACATATTTGTATGATTACACACACACTGATGTGTATTTCTATAATTGCAGGGTAAATAGACCAGTAACAAGGCTGAGAAGGGTTATAGATCACTGTGGGTCCCTGAAGTTCTCTATTTTTATAGGACCCAAAGATTAAAGTGTGTGATAGGGGAAGGCCTTGGAAGATATGACCAGGGAGCCTCGTGCACGTTAGGATTTGGGAGGCATTGGCAGGCTGGAAGGATGAACTGGCTTGAAGATTTTCTCCAGCTTGGTTCAAGTTCCTCTGTCCAGATGTTGGTGATAGGCTTCCTGGCCTCTTGGGGCAGCTCTGCTCCCTGCTGGTTCTCCTGATGAACCTTGTTACTGGGCGAGCTGCTTCTGAGACAAAGTAGTTGTACATGATTTATCTTTGTTCCTTTTCAAAATTCTGTCTGTAGGATTTGGGGGGCCTTCTGGCTTATATTGACATCAGGATGGGTGCCTGGGGCTACCCCAGAGAGAGAGCTTTGAATGCCGGGGCAAATGGGGAGGAAATAGAAAAGAATAAAAATAATTCGGTTAAATGGCATTAATGATGATGTTTGTAGCTCATTGGTGCCAGAAATTTGTTTGTGGCCATCTGGGAAATGGAACCATTTACTTTGTCAGATTCTTTGTTGGGTCAGATTATTTTGTGTTTTGGAGAAATTTCATTTTGATAGATGTCTTTGAAGTCCTGCTTTGGGCCAAGAAACTCAGGACTGGAAGGTTTTCCAGATCAGCCTTTCCCCAGATTTAGGCAGGAGGAGTGTTGCTATTTCTAAGCTTGGAGTTCCTCTCCCGTTGGGGTGTGGTTTCCCCACCACTTCTTTCCTTCAAAAAACTAAAACCCAATAACAAGATACTAGGGGCCACAAGCATGAGACCAGAGACCCAGGCAGCGCTGGGCTCTGTTCAGGCCCAGCCTCCCTGTCCCCAGCCTTGGAAGGTGCAAAGAACCAGCCCACCCTCTCGAAAGGGCCTTACTGCCGCAGTCACGAAGTGACAGGACGGAGCTTCCCAATCTTTACAGGGAGCTCTATTCCTGGAGGTTTATAATCGTGGAATAACCACCATTTCCTAGCAGTTGGCAGTTTACAAAACCTGCTGCATAATCTTCTCAGTCCTCACAGAGCTCTTATTTCCACTTCATAGGTTAGGGAACGAGATTGCAGATGACTCGCCACAAGGCCACACAGCTACTTAAATGGTGGAGCAGCAATGTATGCCCCTCCCTTCCTGTCTTCAGTCTCCTGATTCCTTCCCCTGGGGCCCTGAGGTGGGAGGAGGGCAGGGATGTTAGTACCCACTCCCTCCCTCCGGAATCTCTTTCAGGGGGGAAGTCCTTGCTGAAGCCGGCACCGAGGAGACGGTCATGTGTTCAGACATAGGTAAGGTTTGCCATTGGCACAGCCTAGGTCCATGGTGTCCCCATCGCTCTGGGGTGATCCCGTAGCTCTGAAGCTGCTGTCCCCTGGAGGGGCTCCCTTGGGCCCCCTTCTCATTTATCCTTAGTTCTCTGGCCAAGCCCCGGGGGGCTGTTGCTCAGCTTAAGTTTTCTTGGTTTGGTTTGAAATGACCCCAGGGATGGTGCCAGGCCACCTGGGACTCCGGACAAGGCTGATATTACTGGGTTACTTGCTGGGATTCTGGTGGGTTTTATACTGTTTGCAGAAGAAATCCTCATTGGTTAGTGAGGAGTTATGTCTTAGTAATGGTACACTTTCCTGTTTTTGCAGACCTGAAGAAGTTGGCTGAAATACGCCAGCAAATCCCCATTTTTAGCCAGAAGCGATCAGACCTCTATGCAGTGGAGGCGAAAAAGCCCTAAGGTTTATGTTTCTAACATGTCACAAACAGGAGGATATGGTCCTGCAATGTAATCCATTCCCTGCTGAATTCTTGAAAGAGATTTTTTTTTTTTTTTTTAATTTCAGCTTTTTCCCCTTCCTGGGAACTTTCTAATGAGATGATGGAGCATCAGCACATGGTATTTTTCACACCATATTAAATAGTTAAAAAGGACTCAGGCTGGCATTGAGAGCAGAAGGAAGAGGGGATGACTATATACCTTCCATGCTAAGTTGCCTCATAGTAGTTGGTAAAAGTATCAGACCTTGGTATCTAGGTTGATTCACCTGCTACAAATACATTTGTGTCACACACACCTCTCATCTCATTGCTGGAGTTGGAATCTATTATGTAGAAAACTTGGTCTGGTGCTACGCTTTTTTGGAGCAGGATGTTAAAGTTACATTTTTAGTCTGTGAGCAGCTATGGGAAGCAAGGTGATGGACCCTTGGTGTTTGCTAGAGGAGATGGCAGCCCCAGTCCTTCCTAGCAGCCTGGAGGTTCTTCAGATTCAAGCAGGAGCTAATGAATCAAGCCCAGACCCTCCTGGTCTTAGGGAAAAGGCTGTCAACAGTGAGTCCTATGGGAGAATGACTGGTGGCATTTGGTCAAGGCGACCAAAGATGAGTCTCTGCAAAAGATTTTCTTGATGGGGTGAGTGTCTGAAAATCATCTTTTTGTTTTTCTCCCTAGTAACACTTTCTAGCTTGATAAGGGCAAATTTTTAGCCTAGTGGTTTTCAGAATCCTTTTGCACCATTAAAAATTAAGAATTCCAATGAACTTTATTTTTATGTATGTTATATGTTGGGCTGGTAAAACGTTTAACAACCAGCTGTCCCCCAAACCCTGATTTTGCAGTAGCATTTGCCAGTTTCCATGGTGTAAATACTTTCACTGTGGCCAAGGTTCAGACTGTCAGTATGACACCTCTAAACAGAGTTGGAAATAAACGCAGTTAGCACTTGTGAGCTGGTGCAGTCCTGCTCTAGCACACCACTGTTTACATATATATTTACCATCCTGGAAAATAAAACAAAATTTTAAAACAAAAGAATGCATGAGCACACATTTTATTAGCTATAAGAGTGATGACATCATCATGTCATTTAACCTTTGGAAACCATCATTGTATACTCAGAGGAATACAAGAGTGAAAAAGGTAAATGACATTTTAAATTAAGTATACAATTTGGTAAAATTGGACACAGGTATACATCCATGAAACCACTCTAATCAAGATAATGAACAACCCTCGCCTCCTGCCTCCCTGCAATTTTCTTGTGTTCTTATATAATCCCCTCTAGCTACTCTTCTCATCCCCAGGCAGTCACTGATCAGCGTTGTCACTGTAGATAAGTTTGAATTTTCTGTAATTACCTAAAAGTGGAATCATACTTAATGTGTATACTTTTTTGTCTTCGTTCACTCATCATGATTATTTGGAGACTCATCCCTGTGTGTGTCACTCATTTATTTTTTATTGCTGAGTGGTAGTCCGTTATATGGATATACCATAATTTGATAGACATTTGAGTTTCCAGTTTTTGGCTATTAGAAATAAAGCTGCTGAACACGTTTTGTACAAGTTGTTCGTTTTTCTTGAGTAAGTATCTAGGAGTGGAATGGCGGGGTCCTAGGTGTATTTCACTGCCAAACTGTTCTCCAAAGTGACTGTACCATTTTACTTCATCACCATCCGTCTGTCAGTGTCCCAGCTGCTCCACGTCCTCACCGACATTTGGTATGACAACTGTTTAAGTTTAGCCATTTTAATGTGTGTGTAAGGTTATTTCACTGTGGTTTTTTTACTTTGGCTATTTCCCTAATGACTAATAATGCTGAGCATCTTTTCATGTGCTTTGCTATCTGAGTATCCCTTTTGGTGAAATGTCTGTTCATATCTTTTCCCCATATTTTTGTTGGGTTGCTTATCCTCCTGTTGATTAGTAAGAGTTCTTTCTATACTCGAGATAAAAATCCTCTGTCAGATATTATGTTTTGCAAATATATTCTCCAAGTCTGAGAAAAAAAAATGTCTTTTCATTTTTTTAAAAAGTATTGTTTAAAGCAGTTTTTAATTACCATGAAGGCCAGTTAATTGCTTTTTCTTCTTTTAAAAGTTTGTCTTTTTTATGTTGTATTTAAGAAATTGCCAAACCTGATGTCACTAACTTTATCCTGTGTTTTCTTTTGGAAGCTTTATAGTTTTAACTCTTATATTGAGGTCTCGGATCCATTTTGAATGGTCAATTTTCTATATGTGGTGTGAGGTAAGAGTCAAGATGCTTTTCGGGGCACCTGGGTGGCGCAGTTGGTTGAGCATCTGACTCTAGGGTTCGGCTCAGGTCATGATCTCAGGGTCCTGGGATAGAGCCCCGTGTCAGGCTCCACACTTAGCATGGAGTCTACTTGAGATTCTCTCCCTCTGCACCTCCCACTGGTGCTGTCTCTCTCTCTCTCCCTTTCTAAAATAAATAAAATCTTAAAATGAGTCAAAATTCTTTTCTTTTCCGTTTCTTTTTTTTTTTTTTTAGCCTAAGGCTATCTGTTTGTTCCAGCACATTTGTTGAAAGCTTACCCTATTCCCATTGAATTGCCTTGGCACCTTTATGAAAAAAAAATGAATTGGCTATATATATCTCGATCTACCTCTATGTTCTGTTTCATCAATGTATTCATCTATTTTTACGCAGTAACTTACTGTGTTGATTATTGTAGCTTTATAATATTAAAGTCTGGTGGTATTAGTCCTCCAGCTTTTTTCAAAATTGTTTTGGCTATTCTAAGTCCTTTGTATTTCCATATAAATTCCAGAATCAGGTTGTAAATTTCTACAGAAAAAAAGCCTGCTGGGATCTTGATTAGGATTGCATTGAATCTATAGAGCAGTTTGGTGGAAAATTGACATCTTAATATCAAACCTGTGAACGTGAGATATGTCCTCAGTTATTTAGGCCTTTAATTTCTCTTAGCAATGTTTGTTTGCTTCTGTAAAGGTAATACATATCTTTTGTCAGATTTATCCGTAGAGGCTACAGATTTTTTTGATGCTGTAGTATTGTTTTGTAAACTTTAATTTCCAATTTTTCACTGCTAGTAAAAATAAAATTTATTCCTGTATTTTATCTTATATCTTGCAACCTCACTAAACTCACTTAGTCTAGCAGCTTTTTTGGGGTAGAGTCCATATGATTTTTTACATAGTCATGTCTTCAAATAAAGACATTTTGTAAAATAAATAGACTTTTTCCTTTCCAATCTGGTTCCTGTTTGTTCGTTTATTCATTCATTCATTCATTCATTCATTCATTTTTGGCCTGTGGCATTGGCTAGAAGTTCCAGAACAGTGTTGAATAGAAGTAGTGAGTGGACGTAAGTTGTGTTGGTCCTGATCTTAGAGAAAAAAATTTAGCCTTTCATAGATGCCCTCTATTACATTGTGGAAATTCCTTTTTATTCCTAGTTCGGTGAGAGTTTTTATCAGGATAGGATGCTGGGTTTTTTTAGATTCCTTTTCAGTCTTTATTGAGACAAACATATCTTTTTTTTCTTCTTTAGGCTGTTTATATTGTGAATTACATTGACTGATTTTGGAGTTATAAAACCAACCTTTCATTCTTGGGATAAACTTCACTTGACCATAATGAATTATTGTTGGATTTGATTTGCTAACATTTGAATTTCTGCATCTGTGTTCATAAGGGAGTTTGGTCTGTAGTTTTCTTGTAATACCTTTTTCTGGTTTAGGTACCAGGATCTGCTGCCTCCTAAAATGACTTGGAAAGTGAGGCGCCTGGGTGGCGCAGTCAGTTGGGCATCTGACTCTTGGTTTTGGCTCAGGTTGTGATCTCAGGGTCAGGAGATCGGGCCGCACACGGCCCTCTGTGTATGCCAGGGAGAAGCTTGGGACTCTTTTTCCTCTTCTTCTGTCCCTTCCCCTCATAGTCTCTCTCAAATAAATAAATCTTTAGAACATTTTTGAAAAATGACTTGGAAATTATTTCCTTCTCTTCCGTGGTCTGAGAGAGTTGTGTAGTAATTTGCATCTTGTCTCTTAATTTTGATTATTCTTGTTGGAGGTTTATCAATCTTATTGAACTTTTCATAGAACCATAATTTGATTCCATTTTTTTTTAAATCTCTTTTTTAGATTTGATTTCATTGATTTCTGCTCATTTATTTTCTTTTGCTTACTCTGGGTTTCATTTGCTCTTATTTTTTCTAGTTTCTTAAAGTGTGTACTGAGTATCTTTGGAGACTTTTCCTTCTTTCCAGTATAGGCGTTTAGTGGTATAAATGGCTCAGGATTGCTTTAATTGCATCCCCAACCTTTGATATGTTGTGTTTTCATTGTCATTCAATGTAAAATCCTAACTTCTCTTTGTCATCGTCTGTGATCCAAGAGTTATGTTATTTAGTTTCTAAATATTTGGAGATTTTCCAAATCTTTCTGTTACTGATTTCTAATTTGATCCACTGTGGCCAAATATCATACTTGTATAATTTGAATCGTATTAAATTTATTGAGACTGTTTATGGGTCAGAATATGCTCTATCTTAGTAAATGTTCCATGTGCAGGTGGGAAGAATGTATATTTTGCTGTTAGGTATTCTATAAATGTCAGGTCACATTGGGTGATAATGTTTTTAGTCTTTTATATCTACTGATTTTCTAATTTTTCAATCAGTTAACAGGGGTGTTGATATCTCTGATTATAATTGTGGATTTGTTTATCATTATACTTCTGTCAGTTTTTGAAGCTCTCTTATTAGGTGCATCAATATTTAGGGCTGTTACATCATCTTGCTGAATAGACCCTTTTTCCATTATGAGGCAGGTATCTATTTTTTGCCCTAAAGTGACTTTGTCTGATATTAATAATGCCAGTCTTTCTTTTGATTAGTATTAACATGATTTATCTTTTTCCATTTTTCCTTTTAATTTTAACCTCTTTGTGTCTTCAGCTTTGTTGGTTTATTTATTTTAGAGAAAAAGAGCAAATGGGGTGGGGGAGGGGCAGAGGGAGAGGGAGAGAGAGAATCTCAAGCAGGCTCCACACACAGCACATAGCCCAATG